GCACTGAGCAAGCGCACTGAGCCTGTCAGGGCGCTTGTCAGGAAGTGGCGAGTACAGGGCTAATTCGCCATAGCCAACCCTGAGGTAGTACAGTGAATTACCCCAGAGTGGCGAATTACCCTTGAGGACATCAGGGAACCCTGAGCGGCATCATCCCTGGGTAGCGCTGGCTGAGATTGACAGTCTGTATCAATCTCTTGAAGAAATAACCCCATCTGGGGCTATTTTTAGCATCAGTGGCTACCAGGCACTGTGGCGAGATATTTTGGTGTTGGCATACTGGGCGCCACAGGACCAGATACAGTGGATCTGAGTTGAGGGAGTGCAGCGCTACAGGATCCTGAGGAGGATCAACGAGTTTGAAGGTGTTCTGTGCGTGGAAGTGTCAAGAAGAATATCTGGAGGAAATTGGTGAGATAAGGGTATCGTCTGCCATAGCCAGATCTTCATCATCACCTGCAAGATTCTCTGAAAGTGAGTCCGTTCCATGCACCTACCTGTATTGCGATCCAGATAGTATTAGTTTAGTTAATTATAATGGTCTATCTGTCTGTCAGTGACTGGAAGTGAAAATCGCAGACTGCATGACAGCCATAGCCCTCTCTCCCCTACCTCTCTCTGCTCATTTCTCACCCTCTGTTGACTCTTTCTGATCCAAAATTGTTCTGGGACTGCTATATTGCATTGCGATTATTCTGGGATGCTCAAACTGTGAATTCTGCACTGGGAAGGTAGTGATACTGGGAATTGCAATTTTGCGCTGAGTCTATTTTTAGCCTGTGCTACCTAGGGTCAGTCGTAACTTCAATTCTGTCCGCCATAATTCAATTCTGTCAGTCCCCAGTGAATCGCCATCCAAAAATAGACAATATTGTAGAATCACAGAGTTGGATTTGCAGTATTTCACTGGATTCAGTGAATACTTTASTTCGCCATACCCTAGGGTATGGCCGCCAGAGTCATCAGGGTCTAAATTGGAGTCTGAGTCAAGGTACAGGGTGTCTGTCTGAATCGCTTGGTTTGGTTGACCTCTTTTGTATGTACTAACCATGTTCTATCATTTTCACTGATTACACTTGTTTTCTAGTGGGTACTGGAAATCAAGTGGGTCTCTGGAAGAGTAGTGGAGTGATCCTACTAACTCTAGTGTGGTCCAGGGTCAGTAAAAGGAAATGGTGTGACTGATTTTGCTGGACTTACAGTCTGTCTGACACCTGACCCCAGAGACACCTTTCCAACCCAAACCGCTGATAGCCTATACACCCACCTATTCCAGTGTTGAGAGTTTGCAGCGATTCCAGGGTATCTGGAGGGAACTGATTATCGCTGCATACTCAGGTTGCTGTTTAATTTGGTTTTATTTTGAACAGGGAAAATGTATGATCAGGGAACTGAGCAGCAGCCACAGGTGGAAGTTGTGATGAAGGTAGAACGTGAACAACCTTCAGCCTCCACTACTCCACCTCTGACTGCTACTCAGCGGATGAAGAAAGAGTTGGAAGAACAGCTGCGGCAGCAGCAGGCCAGGCTTGCAGCATTGGAACAGCAGGAGGCAGCTGAGCTAGAAGCTGCAACAGATCATTCCAGAAGAGAATATCTGTTGCAGCAGCTAGACAAAGCGCTCACAGATGATCGTTGTGCCCCGATCACCAARCATATGGCAGAGATGATCCTGCTAGAACACAAGATCACCAGTTCAGAATTCACGAACTGGGATGATCGCTTTGTGCGACTGGAGYGTCGGGTTGATGAAYTGTCAGCTCAGCAGTCCAAGATCCTGGATTCTATTCAGAGCTTGACTGCTCAGCTGGCAGCCGCCAAGCTGATTGCCCCTCAACTCCCTCTGCTGAAACCCAAATCCTCTCCTCCTTCTTGTCCCCCTTCTACTCCCCCTGGTTCAATACATTCATCCCGGTCACCATCCCTTTCCCAAAAGGCCTCAGCAAAGGCCACCTATGCTGCTGTTACTGCAGGAGACTACAGAGGTCCCAAGATCCCTGCTCCCAACAAGTTCAGGGGCGATGACCCCAAGACCGATGTTGGGGACTGGGCTGCTGGGACCAGGGCCTACTTTAGGGGCTTTGTCTATGCAGAACAGACCAAGGTGGCGACTGTTCTAGGGCTGCTGGAAGGGCCTGCACTGAAGTGGGCGACTTCCACTTCCAGCAGTTTGCAGCAGTCCATGGAGGACTGGACTTTTGGGCTTGGGGTGGACAAATTTCTGCAGGCCCTGGAGGACCGATTTGCAGACAAGGAGAGAGCCAGCAAGGCTGCTGACAGGATTGCTCGCCCGGGACAGCAGCGGTACAGTGGGACTCTGCAGGCCTTGTTTGCTGAGTTTGAGCAACTCACCTCCACCTCTGGGTTGGTCATGAGCACTGATGATCTGCTGACCAACTTTTGCAGGGCAGCACCTGAGAAATATTGTTGCATTGTACAGCGCTGGGCACAAGGACTGGAGGTCCTTTGGCCGCGCAGCCCTAGAAGTGGAGGCAAAGCTCCATGTCGAGGCCCCATCCTCTGACAGGAGGAAAGGTGCCTTCCCTAGAGGTGGCAGGAGGGGAAAGGCAACCTTCACTCATGTGGGGTCTGCATCAGGATCGGATTCAGATTCCCAGGCTGATGCACCTTCAGCTGGGACTGGATCTGCTGCTGATCCAGATGTTGCGGCAGCCGTGACTCAGGCTGTTCTGGGAGCTCTGCAGTTGCAGAGGAAGTTCTCCCCCACTACAACCTCAGCCACTGCCAAGGGGAAGGATAAGGGACGCCGACCTTCCTCTTCCTACCAGCYGAACCTCTCAATCCCTCCACACTCCCCTGGCATGACCTCAAGATCCAGGAGGGAGTCTGGAGAAGACGCGAGGAAAGAGGGGTCTACCTGAGGTGCTTCCTAAAGGACTGCCCTTACATGCCAGGTCCGGGTCAGTAAAAAAATTGAAATAGACCCTGGGGACTGCAGTTCCCCCCATTGCTGCACCTTCATCTACTCAGGTAGGTGAATCTGCAGCTGTTTCAGTTGAGACTGGGTGTGATAGTGATGGTTTGGGGACTGCGCGGGCAGCATCCTTCTGCTATGAGGATCCTGACCCGGATCAGGACCCGGGGCAGGATGAGCTTCAGTCCCTTGCTGCCTTCTTCCTTCATCTGAAGGAACAAAAGAAGAGCAAGAATGATCTCATCATGCTTCGACCACTGATCAACCGCACCAGGATCAYTGGGTTGTTGGACTGTGGGGCCACCAGGAACTTCATGTCTCCCAGTGCAGTTAAAAAGTTGCACCTGGGCATGAAAGTTCAGCACTCAAATCTGGCTACCACCAGATTGAGATGGCAAAGGAGGATGTCTACAGGACAACCTTCAAGACCAGGTATGGTACTTACGAGTTCCTGGTCATGCCACTTGGACTTTGCAACGCCCCAGGCACCTTCCAGACAGAGATGCACCGCATCTTCAAGCCTTACCTGGACAAGTTTATGGTTGTCTACCTGGATGATATCCTGGTATTCAGCAAAACTGCCAGGGAACATGCGGAGCACTTGACTCTTGTCCTTCAGTCGTTAATTGACAGCCAGTACAAGATCAACAGAGAGAAGTCCTCGTTTGGAGTTCCCTCTGTTATCTATATGGGTCATGTAATCTCTGGAGATGGTCTGGCTCCTGAAGCAGCCAAGATAGCTGCTATTCAGGAGTGGCCCTAGCA